GATTACTGCTTCAAAAAAGATGCTTCTGGGAGGAGCAAACCACTGAATCTTAGGGTTTACTAGACCTTTCCTGAGAGCAAATTTTGATACACAATGAGGATGAGGAGAGGGGGGAAAACTTACCGCTGGATACCAACAGAATATAGGAAGAAAACAGAAATCACCCAAGCTTACCACACTCCTCACATCCTGCTGCTCAGGAAAGAAGTTCTGTGCATGCTCTTAAATTCTCTCTCACCTTAACTCCCACCACCACCACCATCACTCAGCTATGCTCTCAAGGTGCCTGGTACATTATCAGTGCTCAATAAATATATGGATGTATGAATAAAAAGATTCCTACTGGTCTCTGCCTCCAGGTTTGCTCCCCTGCAACCTATTTGTCATCAGGCTGCCTCCCTAATGATCCTTCTAAAGTCCAGTTTGATCTATTTAGAGACCTTCATGGCACCTCGTTACTTACAGGATCCAATCCAAACTACTTAGCTTAGGATACAAGGTTCTTGATGATCTCACTCCCGCAGCCTGTCCCCTTTCCAGTCTGGCATTTCGCAGAAAACTCCACATGTGGAAGTACATGATGACACACCCCCAGATTGACTCAACCATAAAAACTACTTCTAGGTCCATGATCACCTGGGCTGTTTTACACTATACCTTACCTGTTGCTTCCTGTAATACTCTCTGCACCATCCTGTGTCTACCTGGTAAGTGTTTATATGTCCTTTTAAGGTCAGTTGAAGTGACTCCCCCTCATTGAAGCCTTTATGATCTCCTTATTGGGGTGCCAATCACTTCTAATTGCCCTGTCTGTATCTAGCTGTATTATGGCATTTTTAACAACTGGAGGACATTTATTTATGGACACGAATATCTCTCCACCAGATGATCATGTCCCTGGAAGGCAGGACCACTTATACCTTATTTGTTATTATATCTTCACACCAGGCATCTATCACGCTCTTAATAAATGTTTAATTGAGAATTTAGGCTGAGACTGCTTAAGGCCAAATTCCCTTCCTTCTTCATTTTCCTAAGACTCGTCCTGATACAGCATTAAATCAGTTACTTTCTTTATAAAACAAGAGTATCATTATAACTATAAGTCTGTTTTGGGTTGATTAGTTAAACATCTGGCCCCAGAATGAAGCCCTACAAAGGGCCACCCACTTCCACTCTCTGCTTCTGGAAACACTTTGAAACCCCATGTCTAGTCCCTGGTAGGGTGCATCTTTTCTCCTGCAGGGGCTCTTGGGCAGGAGGCGGCCTTTGTCACTCTTACAAGGGTGGTCTGACATTTATTCCCATCTGGCTTTGGATGGGTAGGCAAATAAGACCCACTGGAAAGAGGCACAGTAGCTTTGAAGATCCTACATATGACATCGTTTCCGCTTCCTCTTGTCTTGGAGGCTTCTGTTTGCTGTTTGCTGAGATATTTCCAGATGGGCTTCCTTGTAAGTTCAGCCTATCATCTGGTCTATAATTCAGTGAGTTCATAGACACACCTCTTTTCTAAAGCTGCCCAACAAGGTGTCCCCAAAATAGAATCTTTGTCCTTAAACACAGCAGTAAGTTTTCCATTCTCTTCCAGGTTTCCTGAGAAGCCAGTAGGCTGGCTTTGTTGTGACCTACGTATTCTAGTGCCTCTTTAGGAAAGAATGCTCCCTCTCCACACTATTCATAGAGACAGAATCAGCTCTTCAAATGGGAAATTGAAGCAATGGGGGTTGATGAATGTCAGCAACCACTGCCCTCAGCCACGGAAGATCATGTTCTGAATTTTCTTCCATGGGCAGCTTAATACCGAAGGGAGCAGATTCTTAGCTACCTAATCAAATGTGTGCCAGGAGTCAAAGCCTCTGCTTCCTGGATGATTTTACAGAACTCAGTTCTTTTATCCTGATCTAGTATGGACCATATGTTTCAATGAACAGCAAGTGCCTTTCCCATTGGTGTGCCTGACATCATCAAAGGCCAAAACATACCCGAATCTTGAAAACTGCTGAGGCAACTGAGTCAAAGCTCCAAACACTGGATTAAGACTCAAACAGCATTTTGATTTTGGTTTTACAACTGTTTTGGTCATGTTCTGCCAATTATTGTAGAGGATTTGTGACTCAGTTATGTCTTCTTATTAAGTGAATGTTTCTGTTAAGCTATTATTTAGCAAACCACAGATAACTGGCAGAAATAAAAGGTTTATTTGAAATATTTCTTCACAGGAAAAATACATTTTCTTTCTTGCACACTGAAAGACTTTGCATAAGTGTTCTTACAGGCTAGCTAAGCAAGGGAAAGCATTGCTATGACAGAAATTTAACTGCATTGCATTTGCCAAATATTTAATACTTTAAAGAGGAAGTTCTAAAATTTAATAGGTGATTTTATTATTTCTCTTTGGATATAATTAACTAGGGATGCACTGTCAACTGCTTTATTCTGGCTATTGAAATGGATTTTATGGTTTACACTGGGGAAAAAAAATTGTGTCAGACCATGGGCCTCTCCCTTGGTGCACATTATTAGAGTCTTTTTAGAGACAAGCAAGCAATTTTGCTGTCATTGGTCTTGTTCAAATAGGGTATGTTTATCTATGCAATGCTCTTGGGAACAGGTGTCAAAAAAGGATCACCAGTTAGCAGCTGACATAGCTCCTGCATGCATGTTGAGAAAAGCTCCTCAAATAGCAAATGAACACATATATTTCATTTTTTATGTGGCTGATAAAATGTTATATCATTAAGTCAAGAGAACATATTTGTCCCATCCAAGTTGAGTTTAGAACTAGTTCTCACTTCTAATACAAATGAGGGCCCTGCAACTCCACAGAGCATGCTCTGCAGAAACCAAACAGCCATTTGGGACTTGAGGGAAAGCAGGTCTTTATACATCGAATGCTGACTCTTTAATGGGCTGTCAGCATATCAGTTCCCAGATATACAAACACCAAGTGGGTAGAGAGAAAGCTAAGTCTTTCTGAATGTTTAGTTTAACTTGTGTACTGTTTTATGTCAAATACCAAATTCTCATCTCTTTCCTCTATCAAATCAAGGAGTCTATTCACTCATTTACCCAACAAATAAATGTTGAGCAACAAACAACGAATATACAGCAGACACTAATCAGGGCTCTTAAAAAAAGTATACAAAACAAACAAGGTGCCTGTTCTCAAGGAATTTCCAATCTAGATAGGGTGTTAACGAATAATGAAATAGAAAACCTAATCACAAATCACAAATTCTATGGGAAAAAAAAGAGATATAGGGTTGAAGTCAAAGATAACTGAGGCCTCAGTTTTCTTATGTATAAAGGGTAAATAATGAGATCTTTATAGAGTTTGAGAATTCAATGAAACAAGACAGTGTAGGTACATTTCTAATGCAGTGTTCAGTATGTGGTGAGAGATCAATTGTACAATTGAATACATGGGGAGGACCCATGGTTGGTGAATTAAAAATTATGTAAGGGTCTCCCATGGCTGAAATTCAGGCTTCATATTTTAAATTTATATTTTGATGTCACAGAGAACAGGAACTAGTTATTTTTGTCATTTATTTATTTTCTCCTGCATTATTCACCTGGTGCTTTGCTTACAAATTCTCTCAGCTCCTTTGAATGGCATAGTTGTCTTTGGGACCTTTTTAAAGAACTTCTCATGGTGTATACTCACCCTCTCCCTCTACTTTTATTGGAATTTTAGATTTTTTTTTATAAAGCACCTGAGTCCTAGGGTTATTTTTCACCTTCTGAGAACTAGAGAGATCCTTGACTTGGGATGTCCTACTTACTAGAGATTTAGTAACCACTTGCTATGTGCCCAAATTTAATTTAATCCTTGAACAGCCTTGTGAGGTAAGGGGGGTAGTATCATTTGCATTTTTTAAAGATGAAGGCACAGAAGCTGAAGGAGGTTCAGTAGCTCTCCCAGGGTTTTAAAGCTAAAAAGTGATATAGACAGACTTTGCATTTATCTCAATTATTTTATTAACCCATTTATTGAGTACCTGCTATGTTCCAGGGGTAGGTGGTGATGACATATCATTAAAGGAGACAGATGTGGGGGAAGCAAACAGTTAAATAAGTAACCAGAAATAGAAGGATGCTGTTAAGGAGAGACACCAGAGGACAGTGGGAACATGTGATAGGAGGACCTACAAACTGGAGGCTTCTGTGTGGAATACCACTGACATTCAAAGGGTGAGATAAGCCAAAAGGTGTTTGGTGGTGCATGGTTCATTGGCTGGGGAAGAGGCTGCCCTAGGCAGCATGCACAAAAGCTCTGAGGCAGAAAAGAATATGGTGAGTCTTTAAGAAAATGCAAAAAGGTAATAGCACCTGGATTTTATTTTATTTTTAGATTTTATTTATTTATTTTTTAGAGAGAGGGGAAAGGAGGGAGAAGGAGAGGGCGAGAAGCATCAATGTGTGGTTGCCTGTCAAGCACCCCTTACTGGGGACCTGGTCTGCAACCCAGGCATGTGTCCTGACTGGGAATCAAACTGGCAGCCTTCTGGTTTGCAGGCCGGTGCTCAATCCACTGAGCCATGCCAGTCAGAGCCAATAGTGCCTGGATTTTCAAGACCAAGGGGGGACAGACACAAGATAAGGATGCTGAAGAAGGTTAGGGGCCAAATCACATAGGACCTAGTGGGCTTTATGGGGATATGGACTTTATTTCAATCTCTGTAAGAAGTTATGAAAGGACTTGAGGCTGGGAAATGATTAATCACATTTGGTTGTTTTTCTTTCTTTCTTTTTTTTTTAAAGAATACTGATGACTACTTGTGCAAAATGAAGGGATGAGGGGGACAACTAAAGAAGCAGGAAAACTAATTGAAGGTTATTGCAATAGTTGAGATAGGAAATAATAGTAGTTTGAACCAGGATGGTGCTGGTGGAGGGATAGAGAGAAGTAAATGGATTCCAGAAGTATTTAGGAGGTAAACTTTTGATTGAATAACTTGGGATGCTTTCAAGTGCAAGTAATAAAAACTGACTTACTCTGAATATTCTCACTGTTCTGATTTTGTAATTATCAGGGCAGGCTAAACATTTGCTTTATGAAGACCATGCATGTATCCTCAGACCTATGTCCTTCTCTTGGTCTGGGTTTTTAAATGCTGATAGTTCCTTGATAAACCAAGTCTGATGTATATGATGTATATTAAATGGGAAATGATGGACTCTAGGTGACTTTGATCAACCTCAAGAAAGGATAGCAGAGCTAGTACAATAACCTGAAGATAACCACTGCTAATTTCATGATTTCTTCTTGCCATTCAATGAATTGGCAAGATGAAATTATTACTGTTTAATTTTCTAGGAAACAAAGCCAACTGACTTAAAAGGTAAAAGGAAGTTATTGGTTTATGTAACTGCAATATGTGGAAGGGCTTGTTTCAGGCAAAGCTCAGCACAATCTCTAGGGAACCAGTTTCTGTTTGACCCTCTTTTACCCCCTGCCATGTATGCTTTATCATAAGGGTACCGCTCTTATGTTCCCAAGGTGGGAGTCGCAGATTCAAGTCTACATGCTTCTTCCTTTATATCTTATTTGAAAAAAAGAGTAATATATCTTTGTCTTAGCACTCCCAGAAAATATCTCAAGTCTCACTCTGATTGGGCCAACTCAAGCCTCATGCTCACCATGCTTAACCAGTTATTGAGGCTAAGAAGATGGAATGCTCTGACTGACTTAGCTTAAGGCATGAGCTTTGCTCCTAGAGCTCTGAGGTCAAGCTTTCCTGAACCACATGGCTCACCAAATGGAAAGGGAGACTGTTGAGAAAGGCGAAGGAAGGAATATGTGCTGGGACCCGACAGAGGACTTCTCTGTTAATGGATTAGAAGTCAGAGTTTAGGGAGATGATGGTCAAGAATGAGCTCTTGTTGTGGTGTTGCTCATTGAGGTGGGGAGCCAGAGAAGCAGGTTTATGGAAGAAGATGATGAGTTCGGCTGTGTTCACAGGGCCTAAGAGCTATCCAAGGAGAGATGTCAACTAGACAGTTGGATGGGCCAGCCTGCAGCTCAGAACAGAGGTAATGGCTAAAGACAGAGATTTGTGTGTTGTTGACTTACTTGATCTCAAAACTTGTGCTCTTAATCAGGAGGCATATTTTACGTTAGTTTTAAAGTCTGTTCAATTGCCATAGCAACTCTCTGTGGCCAAGGAACATTTAATCACATTACGGTTATATTTATATCTCACTTATTATATAGTCTTTTAATGCACACAGCTATTGCTTTCCCATTTTATAGATGTGCAAACAGAGGCATAGGAAGGTTATATCCAAGGTCATAAAGCTAATGAAGAGTAGTGCTGGGATTTGAACAAGAAAGTCTAACTCTAGAGTACGTATTCATAATCTCTGTAATATTGTTCTGTTCTCAGCTACAGAAACAGGAGGGGAGTGGCAAAGATGGTCGTCAAGTCAATCCGTTGCTTACACAAAACAAAATGGTTGCTCTGATTAATTCGCAGTTCCCCTATGATCTGCTGGTCTTCGGGTCAGAACTGCTTTTGCAGCATTACAGCCTTAGAGGTGAGAACTCCTGTTTGCAGTGGTCATCTAGGACACCAGCATGGCAAATGGGGAAAGGAGCCGTTATAATCGGAGCTCTGAAACAGCTGAGCAAACCAAATGACGTAGGCAATCACAAGTAAGTTTTGTAATAGAGGAGGCTGGGCCTCTAGACCCCTCTCTTGCCCCATTCTTGCTAAATCCTCATCCTTTCTAAGCTGCTTTTGACAGCAAAACAGAGTTGGGAAAGGCTGAAGTGAAGATGTATGGCTCTCTGACTTTTTCCTTAAAAAAAATAGAAATGATAGTTCCTGTCATTTTGTATTATCTGTGCCTTCTTGTTCTCATTAGTGTGGATAATTAAGAGCTAAGGATAAACCCTCTATTCTGTTAGAATACTTTTTCCCCACTAAAACATAATATCTATAGCTCTTTCCTCCCCTCTATGAATGATACAAACAAGCACAGGAGACAATCCCATACCATGCATTAAATAAGCAAACCTCTAAACTGCCCACATTATTTAGTGAGAGGATTTTTTTTTCACACTGAATCAGACGTTGTTCATAATGGTCAAAATAATCCTTGGCACTTTCTCTAAGCTTGCTCATTATCATTCAGTATATTCAACAGAATTATTAAATTTAAAATAATATGGTGCACCTGGTTGAGATGACGGTGAGAGATTTGGCTTCCTGTCTCTTCGTTAAGGATGAATTCAGCCCAAGGGTGTACTATGAACTTGGCAAATAGCATTATAATAGTGAGAGAATATTGCCTATTGGGTAGCAGGAGTTGATGATTAAATTTAAGTGTGTACTGTCCACATAAAACAAATAATGCTCTTTTTTCCTAACTTTTACTGTGAACATTCATCACTGCTGCTGAAGATGCACAGTTGTTAATTATTGTGTTTTTAACTTGTAATATACTGTAAATTTTGTATAATACTACTGTGACCTTATACAGAATAGAAAAGATGACAGGAGGCCTATAATTATTGTATAAGGAAGAAATGCCTATAATTATCTACTATTTTTAGGACCAGCATGCATGGCCTCTTAATTTACATAAGCTTTAGACATTCACACATTTTCTGTCTTTGCTTGTGGATGATAAATTTTGTTCAAATGAAATCAGAAGACATACTGTTAGATGAGGAGTTAGCCAACTGGGAGCTTGATTACAATGAACAACACGAGCTTTGGTGCCAGCTAAAAAAAGGGAACATTTATTTGGATGGGGTTTGTTTAAGGCAAGATTCAAAACATTTAAAAAAAACCCCTACACCATATTACTATATTGGAGCTTGATAACGTGTGATTATTTTTTAGAGAATTGGTTAAATTATCTTGTGGAAAAGCATTAACCTAACAAAGAGAAAACCCCTAGGATATTTATCACATGTAGGGTGATTATGACAGCATGTTCTTATTAGAGATGAATATTTTGTTCTCATTAAGGTTACCCCCTTGAGTGCTCAAGGATGCAAAGTGCATTGCAGTAAAGCGCTATAGTTCTATTGTCTTGTGAGCACTTGGTGTTGGTTGGGGGCTTTCGTCTCCAGTAAAGGTGCCTCTTTAAAAGACCGAGCCCTGGCAGGGCCTGTATCAGAGCCACTGGGCAAATGGAACAGACTGGGAACTTTTCAGTTCAAATACTCCAAGAATTGGGAGTGATATTGAGAAATCTCTGGTCTCCTAGTGTGTGACAGCAGGTGGGAAAGGTGGATGGATAGGTCCCTGAATCGTCTACAGGTGAGCCCCACTTGAAGGAAATTCAATATACAAGATTCTGAACTGAAACTGTAAGCAACTCAAACTGCCTACTTTATAAAGGGATTTTTCACTATGAAAATAATTAAAAGTAATTTTCCCCAAAGTAGCAAGTTTTCCTGAAGCATATAATATATGACATTTTTTAAAGAATTGCTTTTTAGAAGTGACTATTACTTTTATTAGCCTACTGGAAACTACATGTATGCAATTACAATTTAAAAGGTTGAATACAACTAAAAAATATATCCTCAGGAATATGTAACTTCACCCCAACCCCCTCCCTTACCTTGTATTTTTAAATCTAAGGCACAACAGAAACACATGTTTAAAGTTTTGATTGGTTGGTTAATTTACTAAGGTTTTTAATGACCATATAATAGATAATTCTGAATGATCAGGAGCTGGCAGGTTGTTTACACGTGCATCGTGTCCAAGAGCTCAGAGCCCATAAATACGTGGACTTGTCAATCTATAGTTTTCTTCAATACATATCTTGAAAAAAAAAGTGACACTTTAAAAAAAACTATAACAATTCAGATGATGTATTATAGAATTGTGTACCTGAAACAAATATAATTTTACTAATCAATGTCACCCTAATAAATTCAATAAAAAATAAAAATAATAAAAATCCATAATCCCAATATTATTGTTGCATCTAAAATTTTTTTAAATTCTTTAATAGCAATATGTATATGTTCTCTTAAAGAATGAAGGAATGCTGAAGTCTCAGGGAAAGTGTTGTTGTTTGGGATGACCACTGACAGCGTGGTTTGGTAGGAAGTATATTAATCTAGACTCAGTTTGACGTGAGGTCCAATCAAAAGACTTCTACTTTTTGTTTTCATCAGAATGCCCTCAGTTTTTATAAAATAACACCTGTGTTAGCACTCTCACAAGGTTATTGTCAGGATTAGCAGTCCAATAGGGAGCTGTGGTTAAGGGCAAGGACTTGGCAGCCACACAGAGATCAGAAAGCATGGTCCCCAATATTTAATCACTCTGAGCCTATGAAGTCATCTGTAAAATGACAATAACAATAATTGCCTCTCTGAGTTGTGGTAAGAATCAATGTTAAGTAAACCATTAGTAAAAAGTTTGTGTTATTTTTATGTGAAATTGCTTTGGTAAATTAGAATACTATGCAAATTATTATTATTAAACAAATGTTTTTCATGTCCTTTGTATTCTCAGTCTTTGAAACTGTTCTTTGAAACTCTTTAAGGTGCTTTAGGAGTGATTAAAAAGATGCAATTGTTTTAGCGCTCACCAAATGAAGCTCTCGCTGTCAGGAGGCCAGTCTGGTTTGATTTGCTTTCCTTGGCCCTGGCACAAGCTGAGTGCTGGCTAGAGGAAAGGCCCTGGATGAAAGATGTCCTGGCAGCAAGAACATTAACACCCACTCTTGAGCCAGGAGGTAGGTGTTAATGTCTCTAGCTGGATCCCTAGTAGCAGAGATATTTAACACCTTCCTAGGATCCAGGAACCAGGCACTCTCTCTTTAAACCTAATTTGGCAGGTAAAAGAGAAAAGAGATTTCCAGTCGAGCAGTTGAGAAAGTACAGAAAGCTCTGTGCCACAAAGACAGAAGCCAGTTATTGCAAGATGAACCCTAAATGGAGACACGGTCTTCTTTAATTGGGTTGTCTGGAGAGTGACTCTGGTGGGACTTTTCCCAACAAACGTCACCCAGTATGGGAAAATGGGGCTGTTAAGAAAGTAGTGGTTCTAGGACTGGGTAGTGGTGTATGAAGTTCTCCTCACCGGGTGGTCAGTTTGTTGGAGCATCATCGCGAGCACTAAAAGGTTGCTGGTTCAATTCCCAGTCAGGA